ATGTTTAGTTGTAAACATGTTTACGAATTATGGAGGTTCCAGAGTTACCTGTTGTTCTGTAGATCATCTGTGAGATGCCAGGAAAACATTACTGGTCTCCAAGTTTCTTTCTCATTTGTCTTCTTGGGGTCTAAAATGTTTGCCTTTGGTTTCTGCCCTTTAGATTATGTTAAGGGTGGACACCTGAAGAGGTGTCAATGACTCCCAAGGCCAATAAGCTTTAGTTTGTTTTAAAATAGAGGCCTGCCTGGCAGGAACAAATACAGTCAAAAGACCTACTTGTGTCCTCATCTTTGACTGCTACACTATTGAGGCAAATGGGTCCCCCAGTAAATAGTATTTCTCCAGGAATCTCTTGCTGGAGAAGAAAATGTCCACACCCTGGGAACAACCAGAGAAAGAGTTTTCACCAGTCAAAAGAGAAGCTTGTGTCTGGGGAAGGACTTCCAGCTTGTTAGATGGTGATGCAGGGAGAGGCTGGTGCTGAGACAAGGGTGGGCAGGAACACACCTTGGTGGAGATGCTTAGCTCTCGCCTGCCTTCTGAATCTCTTCATCCCTCATCGAATAAACCCTCATTCATTGTTTTCCCTGTTAATTTGGCTCTTTCAAGGGACTTATCAAGGATGAGTAACTGAATCTGGTTTGTTAGGCACAGATGGAATGTGACCATAAATCTGGTGACGGTCTTCCAAACGGGACATTGAATGGGTAACTTTAGGTAGACGCAATAAAGGGAGCCAGATGAAGGAACCTCCGCCTCATGGCAGCAGACATAAAAAGTGGTTCGAAGGTCAGAATCATTCGTAGAAAATGGCAGAGAATTCTGAAGAACTATGTTGGGGGAAGAACACAGGTTCAGGCCCTTCCTAAGCAATGGAGGAGGTTCAAGGCCAGCCTGGGCCACCTAAAACCCTCTCTCCAAAGGAAGTTTAAAAGAGGACTGGGGGTACAGTTCGCTGGCAGATTGGTGGCAGAATTCCTGCCTAGCAATGCGAGACCCTGGATGGAATCCTTAGTTTCATCACAATGAAAACAAGCAAACAAAAACTAAAGCAAACCAACACGTTCCTAACATTTCCAGTGTGGTGTAGGTTATCAGCGACAGCTATGGCTGTGATCAGATGGAGCCGCGTTCTATCAGTTAGGTAGCAGGGCCCAGCAGGCCCCTTCTAGAGGCCATACAGTGAGGTACATAGTGATAAAGATGACTCAAGGTCATAACCAAGTGTATAGGAGAAGCAAAGATAGAAACTGGAGTGTTTGGGTTCTGAAGGAACTCTTCCCAGCAGTTGGATGAAGTTGGGAGAAGCATTTATGGATCTGAATCAGATGCCCGTGGCTTGAATGACTACTTTTCTTGCTAGCTGTGTGACTTTTGACACGTCGCTAACTGAACCTCACTTTTATTATCTTCAAAAAGACTATTCCTGCCTTTAGGATCATGGCAAAGAGTCCATCTGTGTAAAACGAGCAAATCAGACAGCTCAACTCCTGGCACACAGCAGGTAGGTGCTCAACACACGAAGCATGACAACCCGGGAAAACCCACTCTCTCTGTTCGTAATTATCTCTATACTTTCCTCGTGTAAAATGTTTTGGAAACAGGGTATCATCTATCTCAGACTGGCCTTGTAATCTGTAGGCATCCCCCAGCCTCTGTCCTTCAGCCTCCACCTCCCGAGTGCTGGGGTTTATAGGCATGCACCTATGGAGCCATGCTCTGTTTCTGCTCTAAAAGGTGAAAAGATGAATCAGGTGACATTCTGGCCTATTTAATGATGCTATACATCCTTGATTAACTATGGTTCTTGTGTAGGTGTGTGTGTGTGTGTGCGTGCTTTCTCGGGCATGTATGGTAATGTACCTGTACCTGTGTACACCTGGGGGCATGCCTCTATATCTCTTGGTGGTATCAATAATACACAGAGCATCCACCTTATGTATGTGGCTAGAAACTAACTCATGACTAGTAAGCTGAAGAAGTTGCTGTGGTATAATGGCTGATTGGCCAGTAGCCAGGCAGGAAGTAGAGGCAGGACAATGAGAACAGGAGAATTCTGGGAGGAGGAAAGAGTGAGTCTGCAGTCATGACCCAGCCACAGAGGAAGGAAGATGAGAATGCCTCATTGATAAAGGTACCATGCCACGTGGCTAACACAGACAAGCATTATGGGCTAATATAAGTTATAAGAGTTAATAAGAAGCCTGAGTTAATAGGCCAACCAATTTATGATTAATGTAGACCTCTGTGTGTTTCTTTGGGACTGAACGGCTGCGGGACAGGGCGGGTCAGAAACCTCTGTCAACAAGAAGTGAGGTTCTAGCTTTGTGATGTGGTGAAATCATAAGTCCAGGCTTTCACTTTCTAACTGTCCTCATCTTGGAGATCTGGAAGGTTTGGACAATTCGTTTGAGCAAACACAGCTACTGACTCACTGTTTTAAATGTACTTTATTGGCAATTAATCATTCATTCTTGAAATATTTTAGAATAGATTAAAATCAGTACATAAAATAAATCTTCACTATGTTTGTTACATATGGCACAGAATAACAACACTTTATAAATATGTTTCATCAGTGCACAAAATGGGAAAAGAACCCTTTTGCCAAAAGCAGTACGGTTGCAATTTGATAGGACTATGGCGGCACTTCCCCAAACTGACCATGAGATGGCGATGTGGCCAAATAGATTATGTAAGCTTTAACTGAGTTTTCCTTAACTACGGCATTGAACCCCTTAGGTCTAGAAGCTATCATTCAACTTAAAGAAGAATGAAGTTTGTTACTCTTTTAATAGTATTGACTAGAAATGAAGCCTTTCATCACGGATCCCTAAATAATTAGAGGTTCATTGCTCCCCTCTACTGGGGAGAGGAGGGTATCTGAAAAGCCATAGAGGTCAGGAAGGACCCAGATAAAAGAGAGGCCTTAAACTACCATTCAATTTAAGATTAATTCATGGAGCACAGATGATTGTTTTCAACACCCTGATAGAACTGTGTGAAAATCTTTCCATACCATGAAAGCAACTTCCAGTTTATTTCAAGGGCATCTCTGTTACACAGTGACCTCCCTTGGCAGTCATGGAAGGTCATAGGAATATTAGAACATGAATTCACATTTAGATCAACATGATTTAAACATGCACATGTGTATGTTTTCACCAACTTGGTCTTCTTCCATATAAATATATAAATATTGAATAAAGTGCATGAGAACATGTCTGTACATATATACAGGCACACATTTTCTTATATACACTTCAATAGATACAGAGCGAAAAACCACATACACACTGGTAATATATGTGTAGTCAAAAGACATCTGCCAGGCAGTATTTATGTTCATTCTGATGAATTAAGTCCGTGGATTTGAATCTGTAATCTTTTCCTTAATGCATATTGACACGTTTGAAACTAAGGCAAAACGCATTAGAGCAGACTTCTTCCGACTTCTATTTTTAGCAGTCACTAGGGTCTAGTCATGAGGACTAACTCCTTTTAAATACAACCTCGGTACTAGAGACACACTATCAATTTTATGTCTGAAGCAATGGCTGTCATCTGAAGTTCCTGTAAGGACAAACTTGGGAAAACCTTGATGCATTTCCAACTTACACAATGAAGCTTCCTATATTCTTTCAATTCCCCAAACCTGTAACATTCCCCAAAGACTTACAGCAAAACACCTTTATAGTCAATAAAAACCCTTAGCATTTTATCCTGTATCTAGCGTCTGTCCCAACAGAAATGTGCAATTTACCCTTGGGCATCACAGTGTCAAGGTGGACCAATGGTGGCTGATTCTCGTTAGTCTGTAATAGCCATTTCTACAAAACATTGTGGTAACTGATATTTGCTTTTTTAAAAAAAAATTAATTTAATTTAATTTATTTATTTTGGTTTTTCGAGACAGGGTTCCTCTGTAGCTTTGGAGCCTGTCCTGGAACTAGCTCTTATAGATTAGGCTGGTCTCAGAACTCACAGAGATCTGCCTGCCTCTGCCTCCCAAACACTGAGATTACAGGCGTGCGCCACCACTGCCCAGCTGTATTTGCTTTTCCCTTGGGAGCTAGTGTCTTTCAGAGTAAAAATGAATGAAGTTTTAGAGGGAAGGAACAAAAACATTGCTTTAAGCCTTGATAGTTACGGACTGGATCCAGTATGAGGTGTTTATTTCTTATATATCAGTTCAAATCCTTGATTCAATTTCCCCCCTATTTCCTTGCCTGCTTGACAAATGAGGAAAACTGAAATAAGATATTCTCAGGAGGGGATACAAACTCTTTTCTGAATCAGGTAGAAAAAGAAACTGAACTGATTGATTCTCAAAACAAATCCGTTCATACTTTTGATAACAACCAATTAACTTGTCCTTTGTTAAATGCAAAGATCTTATGCATTTCTATTTATATTTTTAGCAACTAAGAAATTGCTCCACTCCTAAGATACACTCAGTAGATCACTGTCAAGCTAACTCGTTTTAATAAATAATATAAATACATCAATCGCAAAGCATCACGTTTTTAAAGCCTCTATTTATTTATTTACTTTTCGGAGACAGGGTTTCATGTTGTCCACACAGACCTCAAACTTGGTAAGCAGCTGAGAATGACGTGGAAGTCCTGATTCTCTCTCCTGCATCTCCCAAGCCCTAGGATTACCGGCCTGTACCACGGCTTCACTCAGCACTGGGGGTCCAAGCTAGGGCTTCCGGCGAGCAGGATGAGCGCTCATCGTCGAAGCTACATCCCCTGCCCTTTGAAAACACCAGTTTTACCTGATTAAGTGTCAGTAGGAAAGTCACTTGATTTTTTTTTATTTATTTTTTTCACAGAAATAACCTAAGAAACTACTGCTAACAGCGAGAAACCTGAGTTTATTGCGTAGCTGGGACAGTCAACTCAATATACTGGCCGCAGCTCAAAGGGCGCATGCGCAATGCAGTGGTTCCATAGAGCGTGACCAAACACCTCCAGGATGCTTTTTTTTTTTTGAAGCAAGTTCTAGAACTGCATTTTGAAAAGCGAAATTATCCTTTGATAGTTTACAGAGATGAAAATATAAGAAACAAAACCACATTGCAAATTCAGGTAAAGCCCAAGAAGTAGAAGAGAAAGCAGCGCGTTGTCGAATAACATTTAAAACCCTTCCACATCTGAGAATTAAATGACAAACGCAGCAGATGCCAGCGATCTTGTGAACATTTCAAAATGGCATCTATGAAAAGGCAAGAATGAAAAATATTGTCAAGTATTTCAATTAATTGTATTAGCAGTACAAATTTCATAATACTGTCTATTTTCTATTTTCAAAATATGCGTCATGGTGAATTTTAAACGCATTTTTAAAAAAGAGGCTATTTACTATTTTCGTCATTTCTAGCTATTTTTATATACAATGATAGGTCACCAACCCACTCCCATGCCACCCATCAACAACAGGGCTGCAAGGTTTCTATTTGATAATAGAAATGAGCTGGAATTGATTTTTATGCCTCATCATAATTGTACTGTAAAGGAAAATGGTTTTAAAGATCTCACTGACAATGTTAAAAGGACAATGATAAAACCCTAACACTCCTAGCTCAGATGCTGTCAGGACATTGTCCCAGTGCACACTGTGACACGCTGCTCTTCGGACACAGAACACAAGGAGGCATAGGCTGCTGAGTCACTGGGGTGGTCTCATTTGTCCCAGTCTCCTTACCCCTGCCCCCACACACAAGGGTAAAACCTTGTTCAAGTGCAGTGGTCAGAGCAACCGGTCCATCACACACAGCTAACCTTTTCATTCATGGTGTTGATATTGTCTGTACAGGACTCTTCTGAGGGTTGTTTTCCTAGAGTAACCATAGAGCAGTCGTTACCTGTTGGTTCAGCGTCTTCCTCTGAGTTCTTTTTCTGCCCCGCCTGGAGTTGACTAGACTTGTATGCCAACGTGGGTATAGTGTTCACTAAAATTAGCTGCAGGGGCTTTCTGTTCTCCTTGTACTGACACTGAATGTACCGCGAGAAAGCAGACCTGTAAGTCTTATTGAACAGTGTATAGACCAGTGGATTGACAGCGGAGGAGAGGTAACCAATCCAGACAAACACGTTGAGCAGGGCTCCGATGACATCTTCATTGCAGGACTCCTTGCAGATGACGGCCATGATGTTGGTGATGAAGAAGGGGCACCACATGACGACAAACAGAAAGAACACGATGCCCAGCACCTTGCACGCTTTTTGCTCGTTGCTGATGGACTGCATCGTCCTCCTGCCTGTGTAGGAGCCCTGCTCCCTGTGGATGGACCGCTGGAAGAGCTTTTCGGAGGACATAGAACTCTGAGGGAGGAAGCTGAAGGAGGCTAATTTGGCCCGGGTGCTGAGGTCGCTCACACACAAGGTGGCTTCTTTCTGAAGTGACTTGATAGTGAGGAAGTAGGTGATCACCATGATGGTTAAGGGGATGAAAAATGCCACGAAAGAACCTATGAGGACGAAGTTGTCATCAGCGAGAAGACAGCTCCCCTCCTTAAAGACCTTCGAATCGTCCTGCAGTCCAAAGACTGGAATCGGCATGGATATACCTGGAAGAGGACGGAGAGCAAGACACGTGATCAAGATATTGCTAATGCTGGGCTGGTCAAAGAATAAATACCAACTTACTGTAAAGTTACACGCCTAATGCACTTTCTTCCTAGCAAATTTGAAAAATACAAAAAAGTAACAGTGAGTAAAGGAACGAGCCCTTATTTTCACCACCAAGGGTCCTAGGTTACATTTCTTTTGTTTACACGACATTTTCTATGCAGTTTTAGATCTTCCTCTTCCCACTTAATACTTATTATACAACTGAATTTTTGCTTGTTGAGATAGGGCCTTCGCTAGCCCAGGCTAACTTCAAATTCACATTGATCCTCCTGCTTCGGGTTCTTTAGTGTGTAAGCCAACATGAACAGTTTTAAAGTTAAACAGATTTTTAGATTTTTTTTGAAAGAACACCTTCTGATACTAATTTCAAGTCATCCAGGTGAATTCGGGTTAGTTTTACAAAGTTTTTTATCTTGGAAAATGTTAACATCGGCAAACCCCCCAAAGAACAGAGGCAAGAGCTGTCCCAAGGAAGCCACAGAGCTCTTACAGTTGGGAATATGGTGTCATCCAGGTCCTCACCTGGGACGTCCCTCCTTAGTTTGAAGCAAACTTCGGACATCAACATGACTAAGCATGGGCACACCGTATTATGTGGATCTAAAAGTGACGCGCTTTCGGAGGAACCTACGATCACATACTGGCTTCATTCTAAAGATATTTAGTGTTTCCTTCACATCATGAAATACAGAATTCATGTTCAGACTTCTCATTGTTTCCATAAAAGTCATATATTTTCATAGCAGAGTGCCCAGTGGGATGAATTACCCAAAGAAAGGTAGCTGCAGGCTTTTGTTGTCAAATATATGACTCAGGCACGAAATGTACGTGGGAATACAAGCTTAGAGCAAAACCGTTGCTCTGTACTCAGATTTGGGTCACCTGTCACAGTCCTCCAGATGTACGCTCAGGCAGAGGAGTACAGCAGCGAGGATTAGCACAGTTGGTTTTGATCTTGCTAATTTCTCCCCATGGTGATTGGACCCTACTTCGTGAAGGTAGCTTGACCATGACAGGAGGAGATTTTGTTCCTTTTTTGGAGCTCAGGAGATCTAAAGGAGGCTGGGTAAGGCAACACAACCATGGTTGCCCTTCTTATTCTGTTATTTTCTCTGCCACAAAGTCAGCTCAGGAGAATGGGAAAATAGAAGAAACAACCTCACTACTCAGTTGGTTTGCTTCTTTAACCAAAGGGTAGACACTCTGTTTCCTTCCTGCACTTTCCGGGATTTTCAGTTTCCTGGGTTGAATAAAAGAGAGTCCTGGTCGAGCTTCCAGCTGTCTAGCCCAAGACCCAGCTTTCAGGCCAGCTCATCCCAGGGTTGGGGCCACTCTTTAACCCTTGCCTTGCCAGCTGACAGGAAAGAAGTTTCCTTTGAGAATGTGTAACACAAACGCTGAAGCCGCAGTAACAACAAGAAAACAAGAGGAAAACCACCAAACTCTGCATGGTCAGAAACGAGCTTGGCTCTCCCCAAACACAGGTGTGACTGTCCTAACATCCAGCTGTTGGGAGGGACAGGGGCTAGAACTTAGAGTTACACTGGACAAGAACATCTGTGCATCTGTCTGTCTCCCTCCTCTCTCTCTCTCTCTCTCTCTCTCTCTCTCTCTCTCTCTCTCTCTC